GATTGCCCTCCTTATGCTGATAGGCTTCCATTCAATGATTCTCTCAGCCAGATTGGGTTCTACCAGAACACTAACACCGGCCTGAGTGCGCATCGTGATCTCGACACCTGAGTAGAATAGCCTCAACCTGCAGTGGTTCGATTGGTAGGATTCCAGAGCCTTGGCGTTTCGTTGGCTAGAGTCCAACTCTGCCTAGTTTTTACCGTATGGACTCGTCAACTGACTCCTGCTCTTTCCCTTTGAGTGAGGATATGTTCCAATTTCCGACTGTACTCCGCTCCTACTAGCGGTGTCGTTCTCGTGGACAAACATGAACAGTTTTATTTATCTAATAGCAGCACTACTATTTTAGTTTTTATCATCAGTGGTATATTACCGATGCTGGTATTTTCACCATTATTTCTGATGGTAAGGCTGTACCAAAACTGATAATAGTACTAATGCTGTTTTGACCATTATCGGCTATGTTATTACTAGGTCTGGTACTACTATCATACTGTCACTTTTTTTACTCTGCAGTGATACAGTGTGAAAACTAACGTTGTTGTCTGTATAAATATTTGAAAAAAAATACTACCAAAATATGGACTTTATTATGTATAATGTAATGTGATGGTTTATCTGACCACAGTTACACCCGTTTAAGTGTTTTCCAGTATGACTACCATTGCATGAACAAAATGTCAGTCAGTAGCGTCATTATTTACGACAAACAACATTCTTTAATCGTAGTAGCTATGATGTGGAAGACTGGTCTGCTGATATTTACGCCATTTCACCGTAACAACAAATATCAGGAGTAAAGCAACTAGCGATGTAAATATCATCAGTACGATTCTAGTGGTACCAAAGATGTGCCCATTTAGACAGCTGTAATAATATTATATGTATACCACGGCCAACAGTATTAATGAAAATGATTTTCCCTGCCATTCTGTTATTACTAAGAGTGACATTACCAATACTTACGGTACGGGGCGGCATTACTGATATTTGTACCATCAGTAGTGATATTCAGTGATAGTTATACCTGAACAGGTAATTATGTTAAACATGGAAAGTGGTATCGATCCGAAAAGTAATGATATTGCTGCTGTTTAAACCAATATCACAAGTGCTGTTTCTCATTCTGGTAGTGCAGACAGTTTTTTTCTGCATAAACAGTGGTACATATGTTCGGAGTAACGTTCCTATACTAAACTAAAGTAGTAAATATCGGTCAGTCATCATTACTTGATTAGTAGCATTATTCCTGCTATTTATTACTAATGATGATAAGGCTGTTTGTAGTATCAAAGCCAGTTAAAATGCTAGTGATAGTGGTCTAAACAGGTAATGTTATTGCTTTTGTTGGTAATGCTAATGCTTATTACCAGTTATAATAGTGTAGATATCAGGAGTAAGGCTACTATCTGTATCGTAAATATCATCAGTGTCGTTATTAATAATAGTAAGCTAATAATACGAAAACGTTTTCTCGTGCTGCCAACCATGGAATCAGAAGACCTATCACCTTTAGTTCATCTGCGGTATCGGTATAGAAATTATAATTATAGTTGGTACTTTTAGAAGTCTCTGGCACACTTTTTTGCGGTTAGAATTTTACTGGTGATGTTTATGCTAATAGTAGTATTACTCTTCATACTTTGTGTTATTACATGTAAATGTGCTAACAGTGTAAATATCAGTAATGTCATTGCTGTAGAGATAAAGGTGTTAGAGGGACCCTCACTCAGCCATACGGTAGTTATCTACGTTACTCTACAACTCAACAATGATTGAAAGTTCTAGTATTATCATTAATAATGGCATTATTGATATTTGCGGCATAGATGGATTGTTAATGCGTTAATTCTGTCATTAGTAGTGATGACGAAGCTGTTATTTCGATGGTTACAAGTAGTAATACTGTTAATTCAAGCATTAGCAGCTGTTGCGATCAGTTGAGATACAAATTCAGCATTAATGCTAGTAGTACTGCAAATATCAATGTTATTAGTAGCTTTTTTGAGTTCAAAGGATTTTTATTGACACCAGTAACATCGATATATATATATATATATATACATGTGTGCGCTGCTACTGAGAATTACAGTCTGACATTACAGTCTGACATTTGCAATACTATAATGCTATGCTATAATGTTACTTTTGATAGGTGGATTATCGTTAGTGGTGATAAAGCTTTTAGTACTAACAGAACCATTAATAGTACTTGTTATTATGATTTAAATAGTGTAAGATCATTATTTGCTCTACTACTAATAGCACTTATGACCATTATAATAGTGCGAGTATTACGAGTAAGGCTGCTAATATTGTACGTATCGGGAGTGTCATGACAGGGCAAATCATTTTCATTACTGCTACCAATGGTGATTTAAATAAATATGCTATTATTACTATTTTTGGAACTCCTGACACTTTCGGTACCGTTCAAACACTACTGCTAACCGTACTCTTGGTATTTGTGTGATTACGGCAATAACGAGTATTTTAATAGTACTGCAACTAATAACTAATACAGTTCACCCCATAACCAGTAATGTTGAATTGTTTTATGTAGTTCTACTTTCGTTTGAATATCACCGGAGCTCTCGTAGCGCGAGAGTATTGCCACTATTGCCCTTAATGCTTCTGCTCTTTGCTGGCAGT